ATAACTGCAGATGTCTTCTGTTTAGAATAGAGATGATGTAACTAGGCTGTACTGGAATTATTCTTGCACAGCCTATAAATAGTCTATCGTTAGACTCGCTTTTCAAAAGCAGCAAAACAATAATGCAAGTTTCCATTGAAATTGAGAGTTTTGATTGCTGGATTTGGGTAAGATATTTGGCTTCCATTGAAAATTGAAAGAAAATGGCTGCTTATTAAAAGGATTATTCAAAACCTTTGTAAACCTATGTACTTTACTCCAAGTATATGGTATCTTGCTAGAGTTCTGATCTGATGACCTACTGTATGTCCCAACTTTTCTATGCCTCTATGAAATCAAAACAACAGTAAACCAAAAACTCTAGTACAGTATGATTCCTATATCTCTAGGGGATATATTACTGGACATTCCATGAATAATAGTGAACCTTATTGAAATTATGGACTTCTGATCCAATAATACCATAGAGTCATGCTATAGGAGCTTGAAAATGCCTAAAAATGACATCTTTTGTCAGATATGGATAAATTAAAATGCACATAGCAATCCCATAGATATAGGGGTCATACTCTAAACCAGTGTTTCTCAAACTATGCTCCTCCAGATGTTTTGGACTTCAGCTCTCATAAATTTATTTATTTATTTATTTACGACATTTACATGCCACCCTTCTCACCCCGAACGGAACTCAAAGCGGCTTACAAGGTATATATTACATAAAATACATTATATTATTAGCATAGTACAATATCAGCATTAAACATTGCTACATTGCACCATACCATTATATCGTAATATTATTAGTAATATTACATGTAATATAAATATATAATTCTAATATCAATTATTATTATTATATTGCATTATATTATAATATTATAAATGTCCATTTGCAGGAACCCCTCTTTCACCCTTTCAGGAGTCTCCCTCCCCCACACAGAAATCCCACAGAGTTTACCAGCTGTTAGGAATTGTGGGAGTTGAAGTCCAAAACATCTGGATGATCACAGTTTGAGAATCTCTGCTCTATACAAATGTGGCACAATTATGAGCACATCAAAACACTTCACTATCATCTAGCAAGGTGTTATGCTACCATCCTAATAAGAGCCTGAAGCACATTTTACCCCAAAGGAACATTTTCAATTTATTTCTCTCCAAATCCTGGAAGATTATTCAAGCATTTGATTGGAATCCACCATTAAATTCATATTGCTGTAATCAAATCTTGGTCAGCATTGATACAGTTGCTAGGATGATTTATAGATGTTTCTGTAAGTGGAGCTGATAATCAGGAAATAGTGTTTTGGATAGTTGCCAGAGCTGGAAAAGGAAAATCAATCACTTACCCATAGCTGAGGTGATCTACAGAGACACTCGCTGGAACACCTCAGCAAGCGAGAGTCCAAAAGTGGCAGGCTCAAACCCAGCACCTCAATCAGTGGCTGATACCAAATGAGAGACTCCCTCCTGGGCACACACAAAACTGGGTGATTTGGAAGGCGCTGAACAGACTGTGCTCTGGCACCACGAGATGCAGAGCCAACCTTAAGAAATGGGGCTACAAAGTTGAATCCACGACATGCGAGTGTGGAGAAGAGCAAACCACAGGCCACCTCCTGCAATACAACCTGAGCCCTGCCACATGCACAATGGAGGACTTTCTTGCAGCTACACCAGAGGCACACCAAGTGGCCAGCTACTGGTCAAAGGACATTTAATAAAATACCAAGTCTGCAAACTGTGTGTTTTGTTTGTTTTTAATGCAATACAAATGTTTTGGTTCACTTCTGACACGATAAATAAACCCATAGCTAAGAAAGCTTGTAAGATAGTTGTGTGTCTTTGTTTTTCTTGTGTTGCAAAATGATTTGGTAACCTACCAGATATTACTATATTAGAACTCTTATTACCCCTTATCAGCATAGCCGGGAATGAAAAATGTTGAGAGTTGCAGTTCAATAACATTTGGAAGCTTGTATGAATCTTATCCCTGTCCTAGGAGACACATGACCTGTTTGTAAGAAAAGAAAGCCTTGATAGCACTGTCCTTGCAATTTCTCATTGCTTGAGGAACTGAAGAACATGAAATTGGGAAAAATTTCCTTGTCAAACTCCAGGTTTTTTTTGATGGCTATGAAAGTGTGTATGTGCTTTTCTTTAGTATCTAAGAAATCATATTTTCCCTTCATCTTATCATTTCTCGTGTTTTAATTTCATGTGTCAATTCTTAGTCATTTCCCTAAACCTGCTGGAGAGCAGGTGGCGGAACAAATGAGGTTTGAAAGTTGAAACCTTTTGCATATATTAGTTCCTCTTTTCAAATCCTTGAGAAAATTAATTTTTATGTCTTGGGGTTAGAGTGGAGCTGCCTAGCTCAAGGTCTTGTTTGCAAAATAAGGATTATAGCCTCGTGATTGTTCATCTAAGATAACAACAGTGGTTTATATGAAAAAGGGATAAAAAAAATCATAGGTGATGAGATATGGAGTCACAGGTTTCAGAAGAGAACTGGGGACTGCACATTGAAAAGAAATCTGAGTGATATACAATAATGTTGCAGTATAACAAAAGCTGGGAAATAAAATTCAAAAGGAGGAAAAATAACCACATGAGTCATATCTATATAAATAAAAATGTAATGTTTGTTTGTGGGATTAACATAACTCAAAAACCACTGGATGAATTGCCACCAAATTTGGCCACAAGACACCTGGTGGAGGCTCCTTCTTTGGAAGCTTTTAAACAGAGTCTGGATGGCCATCTGTCAGGGGTGATTTGAATGCAATATTCCTGCTTCTTGGCAGGGAGTTGGACTGGATGGCCCATGAGGTCTCTTCCAACTCTTTGATTCTATGATTCTATGAACCCAAGGAGGGATCATAAAAAAATTAATTTTGTCATTTGGGAGTTGTAGTTGCTGGGATGTATAGTTAACTTACAATCAAAGAGCATTCTGAACTCCACCAATGATGGAATTGAACCAAACTTGGCACACAGTTCTCCCATGACCAACAGAAAACACTAGAAGGGTTTTGGTGGCATTGACCTTGAGTTTGGGAGTTGTAGTTCACTTGTATCCAGAGAGCACTGTGGACTCAAACAATGATAGATCTGGACCAAACTTGACACGAATGCTCCCTATGCCCAAATATGAACACAGATGGATTTTGGGGAAAATAGACCTCAACATTTGGGAGTTGTATCACAGGGATTTATAGTTCACCTACAATCAAAGAGCACTCTGGACCCCACCAACGAATGAATTGGGCCAAACTTCACACACAGAACCCCATGACCATCAGAAAATACTGTGTTTTCTGATGGTGTTTAGTGACCCTTCTGAAACCCCCTCGCGACCCCCTCAGGAGTCCCGACCCCCAGGTTGAAAAATGCTGCCTGAAGGCCATCCAGTCCAACTCCCTTCACCAGGGCAAGAAAACATAATCAAAGCCCTCCTGACAAAGAGCCAGACAAAGGCAAAGGCCTTCCCAAAAAATTGGCTCTGAGTCCCTCCACGGAGATAAAGTGGAATATAAATAGTGTATTATACTATATTATTATTTATATATTTTTCTATATATCATTCTTTTTTAATGTTGCAAGCATTATTTGATCTTCTTTTTATTGGATCACAGATGGAGAAATATTATCTTGCCAGTAATGAAGTATGGTATTAATCTTTCAGCAGTCAAAAGGGCACAAAAATCACTTCCTTTGACCATTTGTTAATTTCCAAGGGTAAATCATTCAAAACAGTGTGAATGTCCCTGAACATCAAAGAACATTCCAAAAGTAAATTTGCTCATTTAATTATGTCCTCCTGAACTGTAGCTACTATGTACCAACTCCAAAATGTATGAATTAAGAAAACATTAGCAGTATTACATCCCATACAATTTGCTGATTTAGAAGACACTTTCTTGGACAGATATTATAGAAACCAATATATCTAGAGGAGCAGTTTCTGCTGGATAAGATCGTTGAAGGTCTATAGCCATACTATTGACAGGTGTTCAAATATGTGGATTAATCAAAACTGGATATTCTAATTCTCTATTTTATTATTGCTGTTAATCTCACATGCACTGCATTTATTTAAATAGGTTGGGTATCCCTTATCTCAGGCACAGGCAGGTGTTTTGGACTTCAATTCCCATCATTCCTAATAGCCAGTAGGAATGTTAGGAATGGTGGGAGCTGAAGTCCAGAACACCTGGAGGGCCCAAGTTTACCCATGCCTGCCTTATCTGAAAGGCTTGGGAACCAAAATGTTACGTATTTTGGATTTTTTGGATTTTGGAATACTCATATTTCACATATATGTGCATAATGAGCTATAATTCTATATAACCTTTTAAATAGTTTTGGGCATGAAAAAGGTTTGTGTGCATCAGAAAGCGAAGGCATCAATATCACAACTAGTGTCACATAGTATCTCAGTTATGATCAGTATCTCATCAGTATCTCAATGGGATAGAAATAAAGTTTTACTTACTCAAGTGGAGACAGTATTGGATTTTGAAGTATTTTGGATTTCCATACTAAGCGTTTCTCAACTTGGAGAGAAGATATGTATTATCGATTTGGTTACTTGGTCAATCTTAGTTAATGTCTCTAAAACTAACACGGCCATCTAGTGCCATTCAGACAAATCCCTAGCAGTGTACAACAGGCTTATGTGCATGGTCACACCAATGGAGAATCCAGCGTAAGTTATACAAGTTCATGGTTACCATTTTAGTTTTCTATCTGGGGAATCAAAATAGTTTAGCGTAGTCCTGATTATGAATTAGTGCAAATGTTATGTGTTTCTAAAAACAAATATTGCTGTGGTACAGTTGATGAGAGAATTGGTGACAAATCATCAGCATATGACAAATCATCAGTATATTTCTGTGGAATGCCTTCATTGGCTAATAATTTGTGATTAATACATTTGATCTGATTACTGTTGCTATTGAGTGTTACATATATATTTTCCTCTTCTGTTTTTGTAGCCAGATGGAAGGATTGGAAAGAAACAGTAAGCTTAGTCTGCCAGCGCCAAGTAACATGGAGCAGCCAATCACTGTGAGTTCCTTGGTAAGTAGTACTGAGGACAAATGCTCAATAATGCATGGAAAGCTGCTAATCAGACAACACATCTGTTTAGATGGAATAAATACTGGTGTGAGTACTTTTGTTTCCTTATCAATGTATTATGAACCGTATTGTCCCTGCTTCTAAATTTGCAAGCATGTACATCATTTCTGTTATTTTTTTTATTCATCTGCTCTTTCTGTGAGTTTTTCAGATGTCCCCTTTTCCTGTCTCAGTTATCAAACCTGTCTCAGTTCTCAAACCTGTCTTACATGACTCTAGCAGCTTTTTAGGCTAAGGAGCTTATCTCAGGTAAACCACAATTACAGTAGGATAATAGCATCTTTGGCTGAGATTTATCACTTATCTTCTTCTGTTGTTCTCCCTGTGGGAGACTGTTTGGAAAGCATTCCTTTTACAAACACAAATAATCCATTAATGACCTCCTTTTGTAAATGAAAGGAGTCTCGTTATTCTTCTGTAATTGCAGTTTATATGCCTCAAGTAATAAGGCCACAGATCTTCAACAGAGATCACTAAAGATCTTTAGAGTTCATTTAGACACATGATAGTTGATTAATGGATGCTTTTGAGAAGATATGGTCTTAATGTACACTTTCTCTTCCATCCCATTTTCACAATAATACAAAGTGTACCATGCAAAATAATTTTCCCCACAGGCCCCTTATCCACAAGCCCTAAATTGGGGGAAAGTCCGAATTCTATGGTAGGATTTGGAATTTCCTCCTTATTTCTTTATTGTATTAAAAGTGAATTGAGAATACAGTTATAATGTATAAAAAAACACAAAGTGTGCTGTCACGCGCTGGGCCTATAGCAATTGGCTTTTGAACATGACGTGCTCTTTGTGCCCAGCGGGAAGCTGGGGTGCCTCAGCTGAGAGGCTCTAAGGATTTTCCTATACAAAGTCTTTAGAAGCTTGAAAAGTTTAACAAAGTCCTTTATTATTGCTTAGGTCTTCAACAAAACAATCAAATACTTCTCAGATCTTCAACAGGTCAAATAAATACTTCAAGGCTTTGAATCAACTGGTGGCTTTCTTAATCTTGTCCACAAGGGACAGGCAACTGGCTTCATGAACTGTTTCTTTTCTTTAAGAGGAAAACCCTTTTTAACCCCTCCTTGGGCAATCTACTTTCTAAACTTTGCTGGTGTGGGCTCTACTCCCGGCTCCAAACTGCTTCTTGGGTCCTGAGTAGACCTACCAGTCAAGGCTTTGTAGATTCTCCAGCTGGAGTCCTTTGGAACTGTTTTCCCCTGGAATTTCGTAAGAAACGAAGCTTCTCTACAGGTGGAGCTGATTCACGTCCTGTAGCTAAGTTTTCAACTGTAAGACTGAGCTAAAATGGCTCCCCTTTCTTCCTGAACCCTGGGGAAAGGGGCGGAACTAAAAAAACCCAATGATGATAGGCAGGTGGCTGCAAACCAAGGGAAGCCACCTTATTGCAAAATGCATGGAACTTTGGAATGCATTCAAACACTCAAAGAAAAAAAAGGAAGTTGGAGCTCCTGGTACAGCCGTACCAGCACACAAAGAAAGTTAAAAATTTGGCATTAAACTAAATTTCCTTTTACCACTTTGTGTGGCTCTGGTGTCACTGTGAGAAGGTTCTCCATTGTGCATGTAGCAGGGCTCAGAGTGCATTGTACTAAGTGGTCTATGATTCCACACTTACAGGTCATGGACTCCACTTTGTAGCCCCATTTCTTAAGATTGGCTCTGGATTTCGTGGTGCCAGAGCATAATCTGTTCAGCACCTTCCACGTCGCCCAGTTTTCTGTGTGCCCAGGGGGGAGTTTCTCATCTGGTATCAGCCACTGATTGAGGTTCTGGGTTTTAATCTGCCACTTTTGGACTCTTGCTTGCTGAGGTGTTCCTGTGAGTATCTCTGTAGATCTTAGGAAGCTATTTCTTGATTTAAGATGTTGTCTTGATGGCTGATATCCAAACAAAGGATGGGCTGGAGATGTCAATGCTTTGGTCTTTTCATTACTGGCTACTACTACCCAAGAGGTGTCAGGTGGTGCAATACCGGCTAGACTTTGGGTAACATGGTGTTGTAGGGTTTTGGGGGTGCAGGGCCTGATGGTTCTGTGGGTGACCAGACAGAAGGGGTTTTGGAGCAAGATGTTCTTTCTGAATGCGGGAATGAAATGGCTTTGGACACTGACAGGCAGGGAAGGGAGGATAACATGAGCTAACGTGATAACATGTATTGCAGAATGAGAGAGAGAGCTGTTAGGAGTTTAGATCAAGCAACGTCACTACCGGAGTGGGAAAGTCCTCTCTTGTTCCTGGTTATGCTGTAAGGTCAAGGCCCAGATTCCTAGTCAAGTTTTGCTTCCTGCTTAAAGGATTTACCTATGGATTCAAGCTCTTGTTTTCTGGATTAAATTTCAAGTTTTAATTCTTGTTTTTGGGATTTACTTTTTGCCTATGGGGTTTGCTTTCTATAAACACATGGATTTTTAGTCTATTGTTTGTCTAAGGTGCTTCTGGCCCTTTCTTATATGTGTTTTATCAATAAATTGCTTAATACCACGAGGGTTTTCCTGGTGAGTGCTTTGAGCAAGGTGAACTCCTGCTGAAGTGCAACACACATTAATATGGTCTTGCCCAGTGTTACTGCTTATCAGTCTCGTGTGGAGTTTGGTCACAGCAGGGCAGATCCTCATCTAAACTGACCTAACTGGGCGATGTAAATGAGACCCATGTCAAGTTTTAGTTAGGGTCACATTTTCAAATATGTTCAGTTGTCCTCCTTTCTGTTAGATGAAGTATGTGGCTATTAGCCACCATGAGTCCCCTCGAGAAGAAAGGCGGGGTATAACTAAAGAAATAATAATAATAATAATAATAATAATAATAATAATAATAATATGCTAAGTTTGGTTTTGAAAATGCTGACTGAAAGGTTCAAAAGTTAAAACCCAACAAAAAATAAAAACAGCAGTGAAATGCACCATAATGAGCATTTAAAGGAGCTCACCACTAATCAGTTGCAAGGGACTTTGGAGGGAATATAATTTTGAAATTAAGGTTTATTTTAATGTAAAGTTCCTTCATTATTATATATTGGTTTCAAGAAAAAATAATTAAAATTGTACCTCAAGATTTCACACCATTTTCTTGAATAAGGTCACAGACACACATACACACACACACATATATACACACACATCTGAGAGAAGAATGAATGAATGAACAAATAGAGTCAGCCATCAAAGTGAAATGCCGTTTGTGATTCTGTTTTAACAGAAAAGGCTAGCAGCTGTACCTGACCACACAGATGTTTCGCTGAGCCCAGAAGAGCGTGTTCGTGCCTTAAGCAAGCTTGGTTGTAACATCACAATAAATGAAGACATCACACCACGGCGCTACTTTCGATCTGGGGTGGAAATGGAGCGCATGGCATCTGTATATATGGAAGAAGGAAATCTTGAAAATGCCTTTGTTCTCTACAATAAGTTTATAACGTAAGAACCGATCTAAAGATTATGCTTTTTGATTTGATTTTTTTAAAAAGGGGGGGGGGGAACTGTCCTGTCTTCCAAAATAATGACTTTTAAATTCAAGAACAACATACTGACATACTTATTTGTTGGGTCCTAAAGGTCCCGCTCCGGCGGGAAGGTAACGGCGCTCCATGCAGTCATGCCAGCCACATGACCTTGGAGGTGTCTACGGACAACGCCGGCTCTTCGGCTTAGAAATGGAGATGAGCACCACACCCCGGAGTCAGACATGACTGGACTTAATGTCAGGGGACTACCTTACCTAAAGGCAACATATTGTTTCTGATCTTGGATGTTAAGCAGGGCTAATTCTAGTTAGTACTTGGATGGAAGATTGTCAGTAAATACCAGATGCCATAAGCTATATAGTTCATAGGAAGGATTTGGCAATGGCCCCTCTTAAGTATTCCTTACCTAAGACAGGAATGACATTGCCATAAATTGACAAGTAAATTGAATCACATAACAGACTCATTTGCTAAATGACATTCAAGTGGTGTTCTTAGAGGTAAAACATACAGTAGAGTCTTGCTTATCCAACTTAAATGGGCCGGCAGAACGTTAGATAAGCAAAAATGTTGGATAATAAGTAGGGATTAAGGAAAAGCATATTAAACGTCAAGTTATGATTTTACAAATTAAGCACCAAAACATCATGTTTTACAACAAATTGACCGAAAATGCAGTTCAATACACGGTAACGTTATGTAGTAATAATTCCTGTATTTAGCACCAAAACATTGCAATGTATTGAAACAGCTGTGGATCCAGGCAGGAGACAGACTGCATTGGATAATACAAAACACTGGATGAGCGAAGGTTGGATAAGACTCTACTGTATTGGTATCTGTTCAAAGATAGTGCCTTTTCCTTCACACAAACATTTATGATTTTGTCTACGACTTGGAAATAACGAATTAAAATAACTAGCCATTTGTATTTTAATCCTTATTAAAAATGAATGCATAACAAAGAAGGTAATTTCACTTTCCTTTTATTATGTAAATTTATCATTTTAATTATTTTACATTTTCAAGGTATAGCACCATAAAAAGATGGAGGACTATCCTATGGTTTGGGTACTCAAACTTGATGCCACCTCATGCTTTAGGGTGGGTCTTGAGGTCAGAACAAGGGAATGTGGAGTGTAGCACAGGGTCAGCAGCTTGTAGCATATATATTTTTTAATATGGCCTCCTGTACATGGGTTGGATGCTCATGGTTTCATTTATCCACATCCAACAAAATATGGCCTCTCTGGGCATTTTCTAGGTCCTCCAGTGCAACTATGATAATCTTTTAAGTCCTTTGTTTCAATAGAATTTGCTATTATCTGAGATTTTATGTATCCAATCCATGCAAAGTAGAGAAAAGGATCCTCTCCTTCCATAGACACAAGGATCATACTGTAACTACTCGTAATTTTAGTTACCTTTGAGAAACTGGCTCTGATTTTGTCCCTGAAAAGCTACTAGTTTTGACCAGAATGTTTTGTACATTATAACAAAGGTAGTGCCACAGAGGTCTGTTTAAATATATATTTGAGAGTAGTAGTGACATACAATGTAATCATTGCTGTGCTAACTGCCAACTTAGAGTAGATGCATGCATTCTTCTTTTCAAAATAATATATAGAAGTGAGCCTGCCAATACAAACCAGAACCGTGTCTTCTTTCTCCTTCATAAAGACAATGTCTTGTCAAAATGCAAAACAATGGCAGCCTGCCAATTTCCATGTTCTGACTCCAGTTCATTAGTTGCCACTTGTCTGTTGTTTTCAGAAGCATCTTGAATTTGTTATAAATGTTAGTTTCACTATAATGTGAATTAGTTAAGAGGATTCATTACAGCCTGCTAGGGCAACACTGGAATTACCCGGGCAACACTGGAATTTTGCTGTAACTGGAGTTTATAAAAACCAAGAAAAATGGAAGGTGAAAGTTATATAACACTATGTAACACAATTTTTGTTTCTGGGTTATAAATGTCATTTTCTAATTGGCTCTATCATAAAAACATGGAAAAGGTTTGATGGCACTCCAAGCAGTCATGCTGGCCACATGACCTAGGAGGCATCTATGGACAACACTGGTTCTTTGGTTTAAAAGTGGATATGAGAACCACCCCCCCCCCCAAGAGTTGGACTTGACTAGACTTAATGTCAGGGGGAAACCTTTGCCTTTACTTTAATTTTTTCAAACCAGGAACAGATTTTTTTTACACCTATATAAATAAAAATGTAATGTTCGTTTGTGGGATTAACATAACTCAAAAACCACTGAACGAATTGCCGTCAAATTTGGCCACAAGACACCTACTAACCCAAGGAGTGACCATCATTGAAAAAAAATAGATTTTGTCATTTGGGAGTTGTAGTTGCTGGGATTTATAGTTTACTTTCAATCAAAGAGCATTTTGAACTCCACCAATGATGGAATTGAACCAAATTTGAACACAACATACCTAACAGGCCAACAAGTGACCATCACTCATAAAATACTGAAAAACACAGCAGAGGGGACTTAAGAAGCCAAAAAAGCAAAAGGATGCAACAGTGCATGCGCAAAAACGACTCCCCCAAACAAAACACACAATAGCATATCCACACTCTCTTCCAGACTACAGCTCCCAGCATCCCCTAGACCAGGCCCTTTAGGAGAGGAGGATGATCCAAATGCACTGCTTCCAAGCTGCAAGCTTTCTTCTCCTTGGATTTCTTTGAGAGCATCCCAGTCCCTGCATATTTCCTATTCCTGGACTGCAACTCCCAGCAATCCTCCAGATAGATAGATTAGGTAGAGATAAATAGGTAGGTAGGTAGGTAGGTAGGTAGGTAGGTAGGTAGATGGATCGATCAGGAGGACTGCTGGGAGTTGCAGTCCAAGAATAGGTAGAGAAGGAAGAAAGGGGGGAGAGAGGAAGGGAGAGAAAAGGGGGGAAGGAAGAAGAAGAGAAGGAAGGAAGGAGAGAAAGAAAGAAAAAAAGGGAAGGAATGAGAGAGAAAGAAAGAAAAGAAAGAGGGAGGGAAGGTTGGCCACAGCAACATGTGGTGGGTGCAACTAGTAGTGTAATAAGAGGGTTTGGATGTCCACTGTTGAGGTTAAGCAGATGTTGTACACTTAGGACTTCCTAAACTCAGGATTCAGGCTTGATTTAGGAGTTTGTGCAGGACTCTGACTTAATCAGAGGTGCAGCTCTGGCTGCGTGAAAAAGTATGATTCCCCAACTCTGTTATTGTGATTTATATTGGCTTTTTCATTAATCCCTGCCATACACCAGCAGGGCAATCTGCCAATGCATATCTCAGTGAAGAGTCAACAATTGCAGCTGTCACTGTCACCATGACAATCATGAATTTACTTCTGGCAAGCACACTCTATTGATAAGAAATTGCACCTGGATAATCTCTAGCTCACTTCAGGAATCCACCACTTTAACTTGAATTGCCTTCTGGTGAAAACTAGATTTATGGTTGCACACAAGCTAAATCCACACCACCATTCCCAAGACAGGAAAAAGAAACCCTAGATAATTCATCACAGCAGCTCTTTGTATCATGACAGAGACTAGGTTTTTTGTTTTTGTTTTGTGTTGGGGGGGCTGGTAAAGAGAGTTTCCCCAAAGAGGAAAGAAAAATATAGAATAGATTTCAGTGGTAGAAGGAAGGAATATAATCAGGAAAAGAGCATGGAAAGTTGTTTTATTTTGCAAAATAACAAGTCACTGTATATTAAAGGGGGGGGGGTGTTGTTACTCAATACACAAATTATTACACCTGCATCGAGAGTTGATATATTTATTAATGTGTTGCTTTTTTCCTTTTTTAGAACAAAAAAGTATACTTAAATAGGAAAATGGGGATTTCATCACAATTACCACAAAGTGACACCCTTCTTCTTTTTCAAAGTATTGAGTCAGTTGTATTTTATACCAAAATAAAGAAAAGAAATATGTAATAAATCGTGCTGTCAAAGGCTTTCATGGCCGGAATCATTGGGTTGCTGTGAGTTTTCCGGGCTGTATGGCCATGTTCCAGAAGCATTCTCTCCTGACATTTCACCCACATCTATGGCAGGAATCCTCAGATATGGCAGGAAGGCCATTAAATGCTAATCAAGGTGGCCAATTGCAACATTCACACTTACGTCCAACAGACAATAGTTCTTTCTCCCAACCTGGATATATAAACCTCACTTGCCTAGTTGCCAGCAGACCTCACAACCTCTGAGGATGCCTGCCATAGATGTGGGCGAAACATTAGGAGAGAATGCTTCTGGAACATAGCCATACAGCCCCGAAAACTCACAGCAACTCAATGTAGGAAATCACTTATCCGTGAAAATAAATTAATTATGCCTTTGTTAGCCCCCTCCCAAAAAGCCACATATTATGGTTAGATATTGGCTATAACCAAGCCTGTAGCCGGGGGGGGGGGGGGGGGGGGGGGGGGGGGTGTTTAGGGGTTCAACCCCCCCCCCCGAAAATTTTCAGGTTAAAAAAAAAACCTGGTTTACTCATGAATTTTAACTGGTTAACCAAATCCCCATGCTAAGTCTATGAGACAAAAATTAAGAGTCCCTCCAGAACTGCAAGCACTATCTCAAGCAAATATTGACCATTTATTCACACTGTCATTACTTGCAGCAATAGCCAATGTAGCGAAGCAACCAAGTGGGGGGCGGGGAGTGTTGAATGCTCTCATTAAGGAGGCCAGACTTGGTGGAGGTGGTCGACAGGGGTGGAGCTGCAGGCTATTGAAGGCTGCTCTGCCCCCTGCTTTGCTCTTTGCTTCAGCATGACCATAACCCCCCCCTCACCCCGTAATTTTCAACCCTCCCCGAAAAATTTTTCTGGCTACGGCCCTGGCTATAACATATTAGTTCCGTATTTCGTTCAGGAATCAGAAAGTGATCCCTGTTGGGCTGGGCTGCAAAGATAACAAAAATAACTCTAGATAGGAGCAAAGTTGCTTATTCCAGCAAATGAGCTGACTGTGAAGAGCAGTAAGATATTTTGAGAAACAGGCTTGGGGAAAGTGAAGTGAAATCTTTTGAACAGGGGCACAGACAGCAAAACAAACACCACAATAACAACAACAACAACAACAACACTTTGTTCTGCTCTATCTCCCTGAGGGGACTCACAGCTGATTACAATACACACAGGCAAACATTCAATGCCTTTAATACAGTAGAATAACAATGACACACAAATACACAGGCAAATGCTTCCCCTTTCATCTCTGGCTTCTTGAGGCGGTGCTTAACTGTTGCCATGGGGAGGTGCTCTTGTTCCATTTCCAAGCTGAGGAGCCTGTTCGTAGACACCTTCTGGTCATATTGCCAGCATGGCTGCATGGGCACCTTTATTACCTTCCTACTGAAGTTGCACCTATTGATCTCACATTTGCATGATTTCAAACTGCTAGATTGGCAGGAGCTAGGGCTAACAGCGGCAGCTTACCCCGACCCATGGCTTCCAACTGCCAACCTTTAGGTCAGCAGATTCAACAGTTCAGCAGTTTAATCTGTTGCACCACTGTGGACGCACAAGGGCTGTTAACCCTTACCTATGCTATCCAAAGCATTCATGCATGTGTGTGTGTGTATATATATATATATATATATATAGAGAGAGAGAGAGAGAGAGAGAGAGAGAGAGAGAGTGGGTGAGTTACACTTTAAAAAATATACCTGTTCTATGTATTGTTGAAGGCTTCCATGGCCGGAATCACTGGGTTGTTGTAGGTTTTTTGGGCTGAATGGCCATGTTCTAGAAGCATTCTCTCCTGACATTTTGCCTGCATCCATGGCAGACATCCTCAGAGGTTGCGAGGTTTGCTGGAAACTAGGAACATTGGGTTTATATATCTGTGGAAGGTCCAGGGTGGGAGAAAGAACTCTTGTCTGTTGGAGCTAGGTGTGAACTATCTGTTCTTACTTACATACAAATATAACTTAAGAAGAAACCTACAGAACCTATCTTGTTTATAACTTGGGGACTTCTGTACTTGCAAAAGCAAAGTTGAATTTCTAAAAGAGAATGAGCTACAAGAGCTTAAGAAGCCATTCTCCATGTCTTTTAATAGGGTCATAAGGTCCAATCAGAACTTCCTCAGGAGAAAGAGAAAAACATAAACACGTTTGTGCATTCTGTTGTCTACCAAGCAGTAGAATAAGAACCAAGAAGCAATACTTTACGAGCTTTCCACTTGTAAGATAGCCCAAATTCAGTAACAATGGGCTATCTTAAATTGGTTTTCAGAAAGCTGTTTTAATAAAGAGACAACTGAAGTATATCATATAAATTAAAATATTTTAATAGACTGCTCTGAAGAATAGTGACAGGCGCTATTGTTTTTCTTAATGCCAAGGTGAATTTACAAAAGGATGATTCCGGTGCTTTGTTTCTTTTATATCGCTTAAAATATTTTACATATGCAATCATTGATCAACCACCTCTTCCAGAATAGTTCCATTGGAATCGGTGATACTGACTTGAAATGTACAACAATTGTATGCCGACGCTTTAGAAAGCCGCTGTGAATTAGCCTCATATGATTTATGCAACCTGTTTTTGTCCCAGCAGGAAAAAAAAACAATGATGTTGTGGTCATTCATCAGACATGAAAGGGGGGAAATGTGTGTGTCTCATTTTCTAGTTTGTTTGTAGAAAAGCTGCCCTCTCATCGAGACTACCAGCAATGTGCAGTTCCAGAAAAACAGGATATTTTGAAGGTAGAGTTGGTCTTCTTTACCAGTATTTCAGAGGAAATTCTTTCTCTTTGGTTGTTTGTTTGCTATTTCATTCTTTCCTGGTACTATGCTAGTTAGAGAATTCTGGGAGTTGTAATCCCAAAAAATAATACCTTTAAAGAATTCTTAGAGTTGCAATTCCATAAAGTAATGCCTCTACCGACAACTAATAGCAGTTCTGGTGGGCCTTATTACAGTATTTGGCAGGTGCCTATGATCTGCCTATGGCCTCTGCAGGTGCCTATGGAATCCACTAGTGCCAGTCTGAATGGCATGGCACAGAGTTCAGAATTCAGCTTTCTTTTTTGATGTATAGCTCTGTGGTTAGTTAGATTTTCTGGGTGACATGGTCAAATCATTTGATCCATATTCTTCATGGTAAGGCAAGGAGAAGGTCTAATGGTGCATCTACACTGTAGAATGAATGCAGTCTAACGCCACTTTAATAGCCATGGTTCAGTGGGAAACTACAACTCAAACTACAACTCCCACGATTCCATAGTATTGAGCCATTATAGTTAACATGGTATCAACTGGCATTAATTCTACAGTGTAATTGCACCCTAAGATGCCACAGAATTATTTGAATAGTATGTGTCATAATAATATTATAAAAATATTCAAAATTGTCCAAATTTTGCACAGAATAAGTCCTAAACCAGTGATTCCCAAAGTGGACATTACCGCCCCCTGGTTTGTGCTGCAGCGATCGGGGGGGGGGGGCACAGGTGCATTTGGGGGCGATGAATAACTCTAAGGGGAGCAGTGAAAGCATAAAAGAAAAAAGAGAAGATTTTTTGTTATGTCTGTTATTTTTGAAGAGTTTTTGTAGCCGGAAGAAAATTGCTAAAATTACTCATTTCTTCCTTTGAGAATGAAATTAGCAATGAATTACATCTGTATTTGAGAATGACATTGCTTTTAAACTGGTTCCTTGTACCATTGAACTTAATTTTATGCTAGTGGATTATTTACTTGAGTCATGCGGCCAATTTTATTTTTGGGAACAGAAGGAAAACAAATTGTTATTTGCACACATGACCAGACTGTAATTTTTATTTCCCCAACAAAGAAACTGAAAGATGTAGCATTTCCAAGGACAGATGAACTGAAGAAGGCTCTGTTAAAGAAATACAATGCAGAATACCAGGAATATATGCAAGACAAGGTAAATGCAAGACAATGACTAAAAGTGAGTCCCGTTGTGGGGAGCAATACACCTACAGGCAAATGATGAATTCACAATGTGTGTGTATGTGTGTCTCTCTGTGTGTGCATGCATTCATGCACGTGCACGCACACATACACAGCAAAACGATTACACTGTATTCCTTATATCTTTATTAGTATATGTGACAGATGTGATGTAATGGCTAGACTGTTGTTGAATTGCAACTTGGGACATCTGAGTTCAAGTCCCCACTGAGGACCCTTCCACACAGCTATATAACCCAGGATATCAAGGTAGGAAATACCACAGTATCTACTTTGAACTAGAATGTATGGCAGTGTGGACTCAGATATCCCAGTTCAAAGCAGATATTTTGGGATTTCCTGCCTTGATATCCTGGGTTATATGGCTGTGTGGAGGCCCCTGAATTATGGTGGTTACTGGATAATATTGGGTCAGTGATCTCATCCTCAGCCAAGTTTCTCAAGAGGATAAACTGGGAAAGTAGAGAGCCATGTACACTGGCTTGAACTCAGGAGGGGATGCAGTCGAGATATGGAAGTATCCTCTGCAGCATATGTTGGCAAACCTAGACCCAGGGCCCCAGTGCAGCCCCTTGGGCCCTTTTCTCAGATCCTTCTCTCTTTCCTTCCTCCAACTCCCCCTTCCTTCCTTATCTCTCTCTTTCTCTCTCCTCCTTCCTTTCCTTCCACCCTTTTGTCCTTCCTTCCTTCTTTCCCTCTTTCCTCTCTCATTCCCTCTCTCTTTTTCTCCTTCCTTCCCTTTTGTCTTTCCTTCCTTCTCCCTTCCCTCCCTTCCACCCTTCCTCTCTCCCATCCTTCTCTTCCTCCCTTTCTTCCTTGCTTCTTTCTCTTTTTCCTTCCTCCTTTTCTCCCGGGGGATGCTTAGATGGGAGAAGAGAAGGTAGAGTGGGAACATGAGAACCATGTTTCAAGATTTGAAGGGATGTCCCATTGAGGAGGAGGGGGGAAAGTGACTTTCTGCCACTCTAGAGACCAGGGCACAGGGGAGCAATGGTTTCAAATAGCAGGGGGGAAAATTGACTGAAAAGATTAGGAAGAACTTCTTGAGTGTAAGAGCTGCTGAAGATTGGCATAGGCCACCTCAGAGTGTGGTGGAATCTCCTTCTCTGAAGGCTTTTGCACAGAGGCTGTCTATCGGGAGTGTTTTGATTGTGCCTTGTATGGCAGGATGTTGGACTGGATGGCCCTTAGGGGTCTCTTCCAGCTCTAGGACTCTTTGTTTTCTGTCCATCATCCCATCCTGACCAAGGCTAACCCTTTTGGGATCCAAACATTTCCTGTCTTTCATAGAATCATAGAGTTTGAAGAGACCTCGTGGGCCATCCAGTCCAACCCTCTGTTGGAGTGCTTTGAATGCAATTTTCCTGCTTCTTGGCAGGGGGTTGGATTGGATGGCCCACGAGGTCTCTTCCAACTCTATGATTCTATGAAAGACAGGAAACGTTTGGATCCAAAAAGGGTTAGCCTTAGTCAGGATGGGATGGTGGACAGAAAACAAAAAGAATCCTAGAGCTGGAAGAGACCACTAAGGGCCATCCAGTCCAACCCCTGCCAAGAAGCAGGAAAATTGCATTCAAAGTACCCCCAACAGATGGCCATTCAGCCTCTGTTTAAAAGCCTCCAAAGAAGGAGCCTCTACCACACTCTGGGGCAGAGAGTTCCACTGCTAAACAGCTCTCATAGTCAGAAAGTTTTTCCCAATGTTCAGGTGGAATCTTCTTTCTTGTAGTTTGAAGCCATTGTTCTGCGTCCTAATCTCCAGGGCAGGAGAAAACAAGCTTGCTCCCTATGACTTCCAATCACATATTTATACATGGCTATCATGCCCCCTCTCAGCCTTCTCTTCTTCAGGCTAAACATGCCCTGCTCTTTAAGCTGCTCCTCATGGGGCTTGTTCTCCAGACCCTTGATCATTTGAGTTGCCGTCCTCAGGATACATTCCATCTTGTCAGTATCTCTTTTCTCTTTCTGCCTCTGAAAGAGAAGAAGAAGAGGAAAGGGGAGGAGGGGACTTATGGAGAACCCCTTCCTCTCGGCCCACCATGTGGCCCCCAAGTTAGAAAGTTTGCTCATGGCCTGCTGTATTTTCACATATAAATCTAGAAAGTTTAGTCAGAAAATTAACCCCAAAAACCTGAATCAGCTTATTCGTGGATCAATGTGAAGAACCTTTTTTTTTAAGGATCCTCCCCATTCTCTGAGGAGAGTGGCAAAAGGCAAGAGACTAGTCCACTGCATCTGGCATTTTCAAATGAGTGGATGGGGAATAGCAATGGTGGCTAAGGGTGGATGGCCCCCTAAGGCAGCTTTGGTGCGCTCCCTTCTGTCCCCTTATCTGTGGGTCATCCATAATTTTGGCCCCAAACCTTTCCTTAACTTATGCATGAGGTCAGCTTACAGATGAAGTATAAAATTGAGTCTATCTCATCAAATGCAATTAGAGCCCCAGTGGACCTGCTCAATAAATCTAACATGCCTGGCTGATCTCTCAATCAATTGTTTTCATTTAATACATTTTCTAGAACAAATGCAAATCTGAAATACTAAAGAAGTTGGAGCAACAGCAACTGATTGATGCAGAGAAAAAACGGATTGCGCAGTTACGTCAACAGCAGCTGGAGACGGAACAATTTCAGTTCTTTGAAGATCAGTTGAAGAAACAAGAATTAGCCCGTGATCTGAAAACGAAGGATGGTTCAGCGATGTCTGAGCAGACTGATGGGAGCGTATTGTCATCGTGCATTTCGGCACATCTGAACAGTGCTTTCTCCACAACAATAGCAAACAAGAGTGATGCCTCTGCTGGACAATCTCCTCCTATAAGTCGGGCCTTAAAGCCAGCTGCTACACTAAGTGCTGTACAGAGTAAGAAAGAGACTTCTTTTTGTTTTCATCTGTTGTTGTTACTTTGAAATTCAAACGTTCAGGGTAGATGACATCCCACATACATCAAAACTGAGAAGAGATTTGACCTAATACCTACATTGTGCCGATCATTAGAATCCTAAGCAATGTAATGTTACTACATGCTCTAAAACAGAGGTGGACAAAATATAGCTCTGCAAAATTCCCAGAGCTCTTCTTGTATGGTCTTTTAAAAATTCAGTCTTCTTCTTTTCTTTTTGCCCCAAACTTAGCCAGAATCTTTCTAAAAATGCAGCAGTTTGCTCCTAATCCTACAAACTTCTCAAAACATCATAAAAAGCAGGCATAAATCGGCCAAAATAATGGCTGGAAATGATGTTTTGTCTCTTTGGGCATATCAAAACATGCTAGTGAAGCCCGTCAAGTGAGTACAGGAAAGAAAAATGCCGTTCAATGCAGTTGTCTATCCCCATCAAGTTTGATACAAGCACACAAACCTTCATCTTGTTCGTTTTCATATTTTAAAAGTTTGATATTTCTTTAGTTTCTAGTACAGGATGTAGTGGCGTGTATAGTAAAGGTAAAAGTTTCCCCTTGGCATTAAGTCTAGATGCGTCCGACTCTGGGGGGTGGTGCTCATCTCAATTTCTAAGCTGAAGAGCTGGCGTTATCCACAGACACCTCCTAGGTCATGTGGCTGGCATGACTGCATGGAGCACCATTACCTTCCCGCCAAAGCGGTACCTAATTGATGTAGTCACATTTGCATGTTTTCGAACCACTAGATTGGCAGAAGCTGGGTCGAACAGTGAAAGCTCACCCCGCTCCCCGGATTCGAACCACTGACCTTTCGGTCAATAAGTTCAGCAACTCAGGGGTTTAAGCTGCTACACCACCAGGGGCTCCTAGAGGTGTGTATAGGTTGTTCAGTTATTGGCCAGACTTTATTTGGATTGAACTGTTCTTCTCCTGAAGCAGAACAAACTGGATCCCGCAAGCCATTATGCAGATCCTGAGTACTTCAAGAATTTTTTAATAAATTAAAAAATTGACATTATAGTTTGTTGCAGAAAGTTTTCTCCAAACCACTGAATGCACTATAGTCAAATGTGCCACAATTAAAAAAAATCGTATTGTGGTCAATTTAGTTCCTTTTATTTTCGTATGAGAAATCAGAATTTTGGCCAACTGCATAGTAAAACACATTTAATTTCATTTATATGGAACTATAAGTGTAATAAGTAGTAGTGGAATGGGATTCAATATTCAAACTCATTCCATTTTTTAAATTATATTTACAGAACTTTTTATTATTTTAACTTTAAAGAAAAAGAAAACCATAATGTGCAGCCCTTGAACATTTGGCCAACTCAGGAAGTAGTCCCCATCTTATGACAGTTGTTCACCCCTTTACTAATTAAAAAACAAGTCAAAACAAACAACAGATGGAAGGTGAACTCAATGAAGTGATTCAAATGAATTCCTCGGAAATAGTGCAGAAATGTCTGTGGGTGTGTCTGGTGGTGGAAGTGATTTGCTAGATATTTTTGTTTCTTACTTTGCTTCACATAAATGCTTTGCCTCTTTCAGGCATATTTAAAAGGCTGTACAGGTAGTCCCTGAGTTACAAACATTGAAGTTGTAAATGATTCATCATTAAGAACGGGAGTGAGACAACAGGAAGTGAGACAAATCTATCCCTAGGAAGGGAAATTCACTCCTGGGAAAGTTATCATGGGGAAAAGGTCTCCACTGAAGCATTACCATCACAACAATCCAATTTTTTTTCAAAATTCAATTATCACAGGGACAGAAAGTGAGATGAAATTTTCTGATCAGGAGCACAAACAGTGAAACAAACATGACAAGGGTATTATTTATTATTTACAGTATTTATATTCCACCCTTCTCACCCTGAAAGGGACTCAGAGCGGATCACAAAACATATATACGGCAAACATTCAGTGTCATTATACACTGACAAGACAGAGAACTGTACATAGAGATATAGATAGGTTTTCCCATCTTTGGCATCTTGGAGGCTGTGCTTGGTTGGGGGGGAGGGGAGGGTGCAGGGGTTTTGTCGGTCCATCTTCCCTGTCAAAGAGCTTTTGTTTATAAACTTCCTCCCTGATCGAATCGCTGGCATTTTTCTGGCATTTCCTTATGGGTACCTTAGATACCTCCCCGCTTTAAAGTGGTACCTATTTATCTACTCACATTTGTTTTTGAACTTCTAGGTAGGCAGAAGCTGGGCTAAAGGCCAGGTGCTCACTCTGACCCAGGTTTCGAGCTGTCAACCTTCCAATTGGCAAGATTTACTGCAGCTGGCGATTAACCTGCTGTGCTAAAGCCCAGGCCTTATTAACCCTTCCATATTCTATCCAAAGCTATTAACCCTTCCCTTTGCTATCCAAAGATAATATGTATCTATTTTTGGCTGGAGGTACACTGAAAATTGTACCTGTTCCAACTTACATACAAATCCAACTTAAGAACAAACCTTCAGAACCTATCTTGTTTGTAACTGGGGGACTGTCTGTATAACATAAATTACAATTTATTTTAGTGACACAGAAGCCAAACAAACCAATTGCCATAAGCAGAGAATCGTTTCAACTGGCAATATAGAGAAACAATTACTCTTGAATTGGACAGTCACATGTAGAGGACTTTTTCTGTAATCGGAAAAGTGCTTATTGAGAAGTGAATTCCCACAGTAGAATATGCACATAGGCTACTGAGTGCTTTTTGAATCACGTTGTACATTTATATACATATCTCTTTCTTAACTGCATTCTCCCACTTCTTCCTTTCTGTTAGACAATGTGGCTGAAGGGCTACGAAGCGTGGTACTGCCAAGGGATCTTTGTCACAAATTTCTGCTGCTAGCAGAGGCAAATACAGTAAGAGGAATAGAGACATGTGGGATTCTCTGTGGAAAACTGGTACAGTTGAACCTTCACATTTGTATGGGGATGTCTCTTTTGATAGTACTGTATTTTCCTGTAATGAACTGGTATCAGAGCAAAAGCAGATCTGAAGTGTAAGTGTGCCATTTTATGGGTCTGTTCAGATATTCTTATTGGACTGTGATCTGCTGATCTTCCAATATCTGTATTTATATAAATACAGATAGTGAAAAGAATATAAATGAGGAAAAAGAATGAGAATTTAGCATGATTAAAAAGTGTGTGGGAGAGGAGGGAGGAGAAGAGCAAGGGAAGCAACATGTCAACTAATAGGTACCCAGCACTAACGCAGTGACAGAAAGTAGAAGCAAGAACCTCCTATTCCTCCCTTACCCAAACCAGACAAAGAAAGGCAGCCCAAGCAGCAGTGTGAGGAGCGTGAGGAATACAGTGATCCCAACATTTGGGAGATTTGACATGGCGTGGAAAGTCTGCAGCCATTTTAAAGAAGGGTTTAGTGCATAAGCCTTTCTGCAGATATTTCTGTGTCTATTTCTTCTGGGTACAAAGAGGGAAGAAGGGAGAACTGACTTTCCTTCTCCAGTTTGAGCAAGGAAGGGATAAGGAAGTGAGAGCTTCTCATCTTTGCCGGTTGTCACTGTCTTCAAGCTAGGTCCCTATTCCAGCATTGGCCCATGTCTTCATGCTGGATCCTTATTCCAGCATTGGCCAGTTTTAGGGGGTTGATGTTTTGTTAAAAAAAAAATCAATGTATACATGAGTATATACAGTAAATATTATTGCATAATGCTTCTGTTTTCATTTTTTGCTCAAAATGGATAATATTCATTTTACAGCCCTAATTTACTATTGGATTTTTATCTAAAACACAACTTATACTTAAAGTATGCAACCTGACTCCCAAAGGGAATGAACAGTTACATGAAAATCACATGGTGGTAGTATTCAAAGTCATGGCCATCCCAGTTTGAATCCATATGCAAAAGGATCTTGTAGCACCTTTGAAACTAATGGAGAGAAAGAAATCGTGAGCATGTCCTTTCATAGACTGATGCATGAAACAGAACTTTATGAACAGATTGTATGTGTGAATTGACACACATACTGTTGAAATGACTGCAGGATAGAGACTTCCAGACAGTGTCATAATCTGGGTCAAAGAAGCGGGGCAAAAAATAACCAGCATGTCCAAACACAAAGCTGTCAATCCCAATAAATCATCACCTGCTGTCCTGACACCTTTGTAGCAGATTTTAGAAATCTGCAAGATGGATGGGGGACATCCAACAGAAATTTACTTTTTTTTTTAATTGACACTCCGAGAGGCACTGAACTTCAAATGCAGTGATGTGGATATCTAAATGTGCACACAAGCACATTACTATCTCTCCTCACCCTACTGTAAATTCAACTCCGTTTAATTTCATAAAGATCAGGACAAAGGAATGGTTGCAGAGAGTTATCATTGTAATTGCTTTCCAATTGTGCTTCGATTTAGCTACCTGTGTGTCAGTCCTTCCATCTGTTTACAGCCTGATCAGCTGTTACAGAATTTAAAAATGTGGACATACGAGGGTATAGCATCGAAGTCACATGTTTTCTTGTCTGCTGAGATATATAATCATGTGAATATATGCGTTTTTGAGGTGAAATCAGTTTTAAGCATACCTTTTTAATATGTGTTTTTCAGCTTTTAATCTGAATCAGTGTACATTTTCCTTAAAAGTCATTTAACTACCACCATACCTTTTATCCTGGTTTCTTTGGTATTTTAGGCTTGTGTAGAAGGGTCCTTATTTTGTAACAATAAGGTCACCGTTTCAGCCTCTGGAATTCCCAAATAGGTTATGGGAAAGTCTTATGCCAGTCAGCGTAAACAAGGAGTGAGAATCATGCAGTCTTCTGCATTCTGTTGTACTGCAACCCCCTGCGTTCCTCCCCATTGACAGTTCTGAGAGTTGTAATACAACAACATATGGGTGCCTGTGTGATTTCTGTCCCAGTGGAGATAACACTACTAATAGTATAACTTGATAAGATAGTTTCCTGTGTTCCTTGAATCTTCTTACAGTGTACTTAATATTTTTATATGTAATATCCATATTATTTTCTGTGGCAGTTCATATGAAAATTAGTAATAAGAAAGGTAATTTTAGGGTTTTTAAGTAAATTCTTCTTCTGAAACCTTTCATTATATGTATTTTACAGACCCATAATGAATTCACTATTACTCACGTGATAGTGCCAAAGCAGTCTGCTGGCCCAGACTACTGTGACATGGAGAATGTGGAAGAGCTGTTCAGTGTTCAAGATCAGCATGATCTCCTCACATTGGGCTGGATCCATGTAAGTACGTATAAGCCTAACATTGGTGGGAAAATAGGGAGTGAGTATTTCTTATAAAAGGGGCCAGAGAACATTTCTGGCCCACAAACTGCAACCCTCTTAAGCTAATCGTCCTATCACATGGCAGTGTATGTAACACTATGTAACACATTTTTTGTTCCTTGGTTACAAATGTCATTTCCTAATTGGTTCTATCATAAACATATAGAAAAAGTTTATTAAACTGCGAAAACTTTGTTTTGCAGGACATCCTGCAACACATTGAATATCAATGAATATCTTGTAGAGTCTCAACCAATTCACATAATTTGTGGCAGCCACAAAAAGGAAGTTTCTGAAGTATAACAGTTACTTTCAAAGTGTGTACCGCACAATTAAACAGGAAATAACACTTTCAAAACAGGAACAGATTTTTTTCCCCCAAATTTGGTTACATAGTGTAATTTCATCTTTTCTTCTCCCATGGTCCAGATGGGCTCCCTCTAGCCTTCTGTCTCCAAAAATCTTGACAGTTTTTCCAATTATAACCTAGGGCCCTTCCACACAGCTCTATATCCCAGGATATCAAGGCAGAAAATCCCACATTATTTGAGTGTGAACTCAGTTAACCCAGTTCAAAGCAGATATTGTGGGATTTTCTGCTTGGATATTATGGGATATAGGGCTGTATGGAAGGACCCATATATAGCTGGTACATTTATTTCCTTTTTTAATAAACCTTGATCAATTGTTTTGAATTGGAAAAAAAATGTGGATAGTAGCTTTGCTTTTTTTTTTTTTCATTTCTTATAAATAATTGCATGGGAAATCCTTTGTTTTCTATAGGCCCTTCTACACACCCATATAACCACACCCATTTCTGCCAAAATATCAAGGCAGAAAATCCCACAATATCTGCTTTGAACTGGGTTATCTGAGACCACACTGCCATATATTCCAGTTCAAAGCAGATAATGTGGGATTTTATTCAGCTGTGTGGAAGGGGGGCTTAGTGAAAGGGCCCTTCCACACAACCACATAACCCAGAATATCAAGGCAGATAATCCACAATATCTGCTTTAAACTGGGTTATCTGAGTCCACACTGTCATATAATCCAATGTGGATTTTATACAGCTGTGTAGAAGGGGCCAGAGTTTCTCCCTCTTTCTCCCTCATGTTTACATCACATGTGTAATGAAGCAAGTGCCTTTCAGAAGGTGCCTTAGTACTAGCATTGATGTTCCTTGTACTTATTTACTTAATTGAAGTCCTTTCGGTTTGGAAGGAAAAAAAGAGCTTTGATGGTTTCTTTTTCTGCTGGACGCTCATAAAACAAATGCACGGTAGCTGCTCTTGGATTGCTCTTGGATTGACCTTGTTTTACTCTTTTTTATTTTGTAGACACATCCAACACAGACTGCTTTTTTATCTAGTGTTGATCTTCACACACATTGTTCCTATCAGCTAATGCTACCAGAAGCTATTGCGATTGTTTGTTCACCAAAACATAATGAGTGAGTTTTCTCATTTTCTGTTTTGTAATACTATCAGTTACTATGCTAGAGTCCAGTTGCCTGCAAAATCACTTTTAGATGTCAGATAAGGTAAAGAGGAAAAGTTGAAACATGGAACATGTCTATTTGTGTTGTTAATATATATAAGGTGGTGTTAGATGACAGTTTAATTTTAGAATGTGGTTTTTCTATTTGTGTGTGTGTTTGTCTCAAACTCTGCTTCTACTATATGCTGTTAAGTGTGAAGGTTTGCTGACTGTGGCTTAAGGTATTAGATGTGAATAGTCTGCTACTTGTGTATAGTGTGTAAGAGAGATCTCCTTGAGCCATGAGAGCTCCACAACACAACTCACAGATTGTTACTGAAGACATAGGTCCTTTGCATTTTCCTGTCTTGACTTCATTCTTTTACAGGTTTAAATTTCTGAATTGAATAGTTTGGATTGTAAATTTATTCAAGAGCTGCATAAATACAAATGATGACCCTATGGATTGTAGACTTGTGTGAAGATCTGTTTCCTTCTGTATCTGCGGTACCTTCGGGAGTACGTAGCGAGAAGGGTCCTCCTGGTACAAAAAACCATCCGACACGAAAACAAACAGAAGTCAATCTTAGTTCCTCCTCTGTTTTTCGGCATCACGATTTAATCTTTTTATTAATCCCAGCAAACAAAAAGAAAACCATAATTCCCTGAAAACTACTACCAGTTACCTCTCCTCTAGAGTAGAGAGTAGAAACAGCTGTAAGGGAGCAATAATAATAATAATCATCACCATCATCATTATTTGTACCCTGCCACCATCTCCCCCACATGAGGCCAAGCCCAAACAACAAATTACAAAAAAAAAATACAAATTACAGTAAAATAAACAACATCGCAGTAAAGGACAAAACATATAAATACAATAAGTAATATACACAAAGCATAAAAAGCAATAAACAAAACATAATGACAGTGAGCATGTACAATAAAATGGTTTAAAAACTCAGGGTGAGATAAAAGGAGCAAATTATTTGCATGGGAGAACTCATAGAGAAACAGTGTAATAAACATACCTTTGTATAAGGGGGGGAGGTACTCCTAGGTCAAAATGTTGAGGGGGGCAATAGTTAAAGCTTGTGTGGCTACTCTCCAAAAGTGCAGCAGCAGAGCCAGGTCTTGAGATTCTTTTTAAAGGTTTCTAAGGTAGGTGCTTTCCTGATCTCACTGGGCAATGAGTTCCAGAGTTGGGGAGCGAAAATGAAATTGAAGCATGCTAGGAAAAAAAGTTTTTTTTAAGGAAGCCCAGGGAGGAAAGCTCCTGAAGGTCATCTCTCTTCCTTAACTGGAAGTGCGGAAGCCTCCTTAAAATGCCAATGGAAAGAGTGCATGGCATGGTGCAGGCCTGGGAGAGAAAGCATGCACACCAGTGCCCGCAGAGCCTCTCCTCTAGAGTAGAAACAGCTAAGAAGCCCCCTTAAAGCCCCCTGCCTGAAATGCCATCTCTTCTAGAACATAATAGCTTTAAGAAGTCTCCTTTAAATGCCTTGGAAAGAGTGCGTGGCATGGTGCAGACCTGGGAGAGAAAGTGCACACACCAGTGCCTGCATCACTTCTCCTCTAGAGTAGAAACAGTTAAGAAGCCCCCTTAAAGCACGCCTACCTGCCTGAAATGCCATTTCTTCTAGAGTAGAAATAGTTTTAAGAAGCCCTCCTTTAAATGCCTTTGAAAGAGTGTGTGGTATGATTCAGGCCCGGGAGAGAAAGCACACGTATCTGCCTGCAGCACCTCTCCTCTAGATTAGTAACAACTTAAATGTCTAAAATTACAGGAAGGGGAGTCTGGGAAGCCCACCCTACATAATGGGCTGGAGAGAAAATGAATCTTTGGCATCCGGGAGCGTAAACAATCTGCCCTTCCGAATTCAGGAGGCTCCCAAAAATTGATCAGGATCCCACCGAAATCTAAGACACCAAAAAGGATCACGGTTTATCCAGAATGCACAAGCTTACTGGATAGTATTTTAGTTGCTGGAGCCTCCTGAATCTTTTACTATGCAACGTTCACTTTATTTTCTTACATTGAAGAGTTTCAGTGCTGGGTACTGAATGTGACTTAACCTTTGCTTTGCTTTTTAGCACGGGAGTCTTCCGACTTACTAATGCTGGTATGTTGGAAGTTTCTGCTTGTAAGAAGAAGGGCTTTCATCCCCATACCAAGGACCCTAGACTATTTAATGTAAGGAAAAAAACATTTTGTATATTTATACAGATTGAATGCTCTGTATCTGAAATGCTTGGGACCAGAAGTGTTTTGGATTTTGGTCCCCCCCCCCCATATTTTGGAATATTTCATTCACTTAATGAGTTCTCTTGGAAATAAGATGAAAATCTAACATGAAATGTATTTATGTTTAATAGATATCATATACATTTAACCTGAATGTAATTTTTGCACAATATTTTTAATAATTCTGTGCATAAAACAGTTTGTGTACATTGAACCATCAAACAGATCTCAATCATCCATGTGGACAGAGCCCCCGGTGGCGCAGTGGGTTAAACCCTTGTGCCGGCAGGACTGAAGACACACAGGTTGCAGGTTCGAATCCAGGGAGAGCGTGGATGAGCTCCCTCTGTCAGCTCCAGTTCTTCATGCGGGGACATGAGAGAAGCCTCCCACATGGATGGTAAAACCTCAAAACCATCCGGGCGTCCCCTGGGCAACGTCCTTGCAGATGGCTAATTCTCTCACACCAGAAGCTACTTGCATTTTCTCTAGTCGCTCCTAACACGACAAAAAAAAAATCCATGCAGACAATTTGAGAACACTTTGGATTTCCAAATACTCAGCCTGCATTTGTTTTATAACCATCTAGCTGTTTGCTTTCTAGTTTTTCAGACTTATGGTGACCCTAAGGGTCCTTCCACAGTGCCATATAAAATCCAGATTATCTGATTTGAACTGGATTATATGGCAGTGTAGACTCATATAATCCAGTTCAAAGCAGATAACATGGATTATCTGTTTTGATAATCTGTATAAGGGGCCTAAGGCAACCCTATTTCTGGACATTCTTGAAAAGATTTGTTCAGAAGGAATTGCCATTGCCTTTTCATCAATGTCTGAGAGTTTGCAATTTGTCCGCAATCACCTTGTAGTTGTTGAGTGGAAATTTGAACATTTCTCTCCCAAAATAATATTCCAACACTCAAATCATTAAATGAGATGTCTTTCACTTTTCCCAGCATTATAATTTTTTTCCAGAAAATCTAATAGTTTCAAAATAGGAAAGCTTTACTTTAGCCATCATAACCTCTAGGAAGAGTTTGGGTTCAATTTGTCTTTTTGGAAGCCCATGGAATCTATCTACAGAACTCTTCTCCAACTCTTCCTCTCAAATGAGTTAATTTTCCTCCTGCCAGCTTTCTTCACTCTTGAGTTTTCATAACAGTATGAAAAAATCAGAGATACTGGATGAATCTGATATGGTATTTATTTCTTTTACAGATGTGCAAACATATCATTGGGAAAGATGTAAACATAACTGTATTGGATCTGAGGTGATACAGATGGGAGGAAAAAAAAAGCTTTCTAGAAAACCAACGCCCAAAGGACTCCTTGGGTGCCAGATTTTTCCTAGTGTTTTCCAAATGTTATTGACATTTTATATTTATACATTTTAGATTTAATAGTTTGATATTTATTACCCTTTCCCATTTTGAGGTTATTTTGTTGTTCTGTCAAAATAAAGTTCACAGTGGCATTTTATCAAGATATGTTATTATCCTGGAATACTATGAAAATAAAATGAACTTGAAAAAGGGAAGAAAGAGTCACATTTTCTAAAGCTTATTATTATTTTGACTTGGATTGTATGGTCTAAAGCCCCTTCTACACTGACATATAAAATCCAGAATATCTGCTTTGAACTGGAATTTATGGCAGTGTAAACTCATATAATCCTGTTCAAAGCAGATATGTGGATTATCTGCTTTGATAATTTGGATTAGATGGCATTGTAGAAGAGGCCTAAATAAATCCATAGTTTCCATGAGATTTTGACTATTTTGACATATTTAGAATTAGGAAAGGAAACACGGGACTGTAGAATCAGGCAATCTTAGGAGGCTGAGGTGGCACAGCGGGTTAAACCACTAAGCAGCTGAACTTGCTGACCACGGGATGGGGTGAGCTCCCACTGTTGGCCCCAGTCCCTGCCAACCTAGCAGTTCAAAACATGCAAATGTGAGTACCGTAGATCAATAGGTACTGCATGGCGGGAAGGTAATGGTGCTCTATGCAGTCATGCCGGCCACATGATCTTGGAGGCGTCTATGAACAACGCTGGCTCTTTGGCTTAGAAAGTGACTAGACTTAATGTAAAGTGGAAACTTTTACCTAGAACCTTATAAAATCTGCTCTTTGTCCTTCTCTTTTTAAAAATAAGGACCTGAGTCTATGTGCTGGTTATGACATGATTAGCAATCACTTTTTTGGAAAAAGGAACTACCATAATTTGTCCTTCGAAATAGCATATAGGGAGGGGAGTTTTATGCATCCTTTCCTTGTTGTGTTACACTCTAAGCCTTCCCTGCCAGCAGTCAGCACTTTTTTGTGCACTAATCAGTGTTATGTCCATGATGCTAATGAAATGGGTGGATTTTGCCACAATTGTGGCTGTGGAAAATAGATGGAAACCTCCTTTATGTGTGTCATCTAAGAACAATATCACATTTTTTCTATATTTGTTACTAGCTTTGGTACCCGGCATTGCCCAGGTTATTTGAAAAAGTCATTTTTAAAAAAATTTACAAAATGCTTAAGGTCGTGGGTGAACTACAACTCACATCACGCCAGGTTATCCCCCTGAAATTCCATCAGTAGTTAAAGTTTGTCATGTTGGGCAAGTTTGCTCTAGATGCATCATTGGTGAGTTTCAGTGTGCTCTCTGGCTGCAGAATGAACTACAGCTCCCACCATGGTGGGTCAGTCCCCCTCAATTCCCTTCAGTAGGTTCAGTTGGTCATGGGAGTTTCTGTGTGCCAAGTTTGATCCAGATCCATCATTGGTGGTGCTCACAGTGTCTCTGGATGTGAGTGAGTCGCAACTTCCAGAAATGAAAGTGAGTTCTCTCCAAACCCTTCCAGTATTTTTAGCTGGTCATCATAGTTCTGGGTGCCAAACTTGATCCAGATCCATTATTGTTGGGGTTCACAGTTTCTCTGGTTGTAGGTGAACTACAACTCCAAAAATCAAGGTCAATCCCTCCCAAACCCTTCCAGTATTCAAATTTGGACTTTTCAGGCATGTGCACATAATCGTTTGGGATCATGGTACTCTCTGGATTTAATGAACTATAACTCCCCCAAATCAAGGTGATCCCCCCCCCCAAAAAAAACCCCTCCATTATTTTTTGTTTATCATGGCGGGTTCTATGTGCCAAGTTAGGTCCAGGTCCATCTTTGTTGGGATTGAAAGTGCTGTTTGATTTCAGGTGAACTTTAAATTCCAGTACCTACAACATCCAATTGTCAAAGGCAATTCCCCCCAAAACCCACCAGTATTCCTATTTGGGCATATCGGGTATGCGTGCCAAGTTTGGTCCAGATCCATCTTTATTTGGGTTCATAGTGCTCTCTGGATGTAGGTGAACTACAACTATAAATCAAGGTCAATCCTCCCTGAACCTCTCCAGTATTTTGCATTGGTCATGGGGATTCTGTGTGCCAAATGTGGTCCAGGTTCATTGCAGGGTGAACTACAACTTCCATCGTGTTGCGTCAGTCCTCCAGACCCCTCCAGTATTTTCAGTTGCTGATCAATTTCTCTGTTTGCTCTGACCCGCAGAAAAGTGTAGGAAAGGAAGTGGGTGGGATTGTGCAAATTCCACATCTATGGAGAGAGTCAGAAACACCAAGGTGTCTGTAGTGGAGGAAACACATAAAATCTAAGATGATATTGACCCCATATGAAAGCCTTCCCTTGGGTGGTGGGCAGTCTTGTGTTTGTGGAGGACACTGGCAAGGGTTATACATGTTTACGGCACTCGCTATAACCGGCCGTGTCATTGGAGGGAGGGCCTTTGGTGGCTCCTCATAGGTGGGGATAATAACTGTTTGTGGAAGTGGGACCCTGTCTGTGAAAGTGGGCACCCCAGCCACCACACACATATTTTCACATTTATTATGGATATAGATAGGATGTGTGTATTTAATGTTAATCCCATCATTAGCATAACATGCGGCCCTCCAAGATCTCATGGCAGTTGCACATCCTTGAACTTAATTTTCAGTGTCTTATTAGAATTAATTATGATAATTAATTTACAGTGCATGATTCTTTGCTGTCATATATTATTCATAGGTTTGTGGCCTTGGGAGAAGATTTTTGCTTCGGGCGGGGAAGGTAGTAAACATTTAAAAAAGGCTTTTTTCATAACTCCACTAAAACTGCTAGTTTTGAAAGGAATCTGAAATATTTAGCAGAACTATACTTGCAGCTACTTCAAATAGCAAGACTCAGAGCAACTGAGTCACCACTACAAGATAGTTTTTTTCTGTCTTTAAAGCTGATATGCATGTTCATTACGCATGGTTAGGTTTCTTTGGAATACTCGTAATTCGGAATAAAGCCAGAAAAGTTGCCTTTTTGAAGTGATTTTGATGTTATTTTAAAAGCAGGAAGTCCCTTTGCCCTTTCGAAGCTTCCCCCCATTTTTGATATGACTCAGGAAGTGAGTCGGAAGCAAGTCAGCATTTGGAGGCAAGCAGCCTCCTAGCTGCAAGCTGCTTGCCTCCTAGCCAATGAGGGGAGAAGTTTTGGGGAGGGGAGGGGGTTCGGCATGGCACCCATTGCGCTACATAAAGGGTAGCACATGGCTTAGAGGCTCATTGTGAGCCCAGGAAGGGAAGGGAAAGGGAAAGAGAAAGGGAAGGGAGGTTGGAAAAAGAGCGGTTAAACAGAAGAGCAGGGCAAGTGGATGGAGAAAGGCTGTTGCTTGCCTGGTTCCCGGCCTTGCAGCCACTTGTGTGTTATTGCTCTTGGGGTTTGGGACAGGTGGGTGACACATGGGTAATATTGAGGTGTGTGGATGCGTGGCGTGGGTGGAAGGAACAAAGCACTCCAACGTTTGAAAAAGCCCCAGCGTGTAGTGTGGGTGTTGGGTGTGTGGGTGGAAGAAGCAGCACAGAGGAACCAAAGCCCTCAAATGTATGTAAAAGCTACAGTGTTGTAGTAGCTCTCTCTGACCTCTGTGTTGTACATTGCCTCAATAGAATTAGATCTCCCATCAATTCAAGCCACTCTTTGAACACAAACTCTCCTTCCTAAAGTTGTAAAATCACCTTTCAAGGCCCCAAAAGGGCTCTCTCTGCTGTTTGTTTCTTTGTTTGCTGTCTGTTGCTTGTCAGAAAAGACACTACAAATCCCATATAGTCAAGAATATCCTTCCTGGGCAAACTTCAGCCCTCCAGGTCTTCATTATGTGAAGACTGTGTGTTGATCAGCTATGCATTGACCTCCGCACATTAAAAAATTCACGCACAGGCATCTCCCAAGAAAAATAAAAGCAAATCAACTCTAACTGGAGGCCGGCTGTGACCAGCAGTGCTGCAGAATTCAAGGAGGCATGAATGGAAGGTGAAAGGGAGAAATGTGCCAAGAGGAAGGCACGTCAAGCCAATCCTGACCAGGACCGCCTTCCATCTGGAAACCGATTCCTCACTGTGGGAAAACATGCGGATCAAGAGTAGGGTTCCACAGCCACCTATGGACCTACCGCCAAGGCAGCACATCTGGAAGACAATCATCCTCTAGCTACAAGGGATTGCCTAAATCGAAAAAAGTCCTTCTTGGCTGTGACCTCCCTCTCCTGAAACTATTATTCCATTATGCCCTTACACTGATCATTATTCCATTTAGCTATCCTGGATAATAGCCAGTGCTTGACCTCTTTAATCTAAATGAATCATACAAATACAGACCTCCTCAGCTTTTCAATTACTTGGGTTTTTTGACATTCCCCTGTTTCAACAGATACACATTTTAGCCATATGCAGGTAGTCCCCAAGTTATGAACAAAGATAGTTCAGTAGGTTTGTTCTTCAGTTGGATTTGTATGTAACGGATACATTTTTAAGTGTAACCCCAGGCAAATATTCACATATTAGCTTTGGATAGCACACGGAAGGGTTAATACCCCTGTGGCAGGCCCGTAGCCAGGATTTCGATTCCGGGGGGGGGGGGGGGGGGGTGAATTTTTTTCAGGGGGGGCTTCGGGGGGGCTGAGTTTCGGGGGGGGTGAGTCTGAGTGAAAGAGGGTCTACCCTAGCAAACCTTTTGTATCATTACCCCAATACCCTATGCATATGGGATATATTGAGTATGGTGATCAGATCATGATATGAATAAACATAACAGTTTAAATAATGCACCAGTAAGGCCTTTTCACGAACCACCATGAGAATTTCGGGGGGGGGGGGGCTGAAGCCCCTCAAGCCCCCCCCCCCCCCCGGCTACATGCCTGCCCTTGGTGTTTGTTTTGCTATCTGCGCCCCTGTTTAAAAGATTTCACTTCACTTTCTGTCCCGTTGATCATTGAATTTTGAAAAAATTGGCTTGTGTGGAAACAAGGATTTGTGATAAAACTTCGGTTGATGCACCTTTTCCCCCATGATAACTCTTTCAGGACTGAATTTCCCTTGCAAGTAGTAGATTTCTCTCACTGTTCTTAACTATGAGTCATTTGTAAGTCAGATGTTTGTAACTCAATTACTGCTTGTACTGCAATTTCAACTTCTGGTCCATTCTTTTACAGCACCCTGGTCCTTAATCCATTGAATAAGCAGGGAATGCCTGTACTGAATAGTGTTATGTTTATCTACTGCACTGGAATATTTTTGTTATTAATTGGCATCACATTAATTTCAGCTTATGATCACCTAAAGAAAGAGAGAACACCAAGTCACCCTATCAACAAGATTTTGCAAAGTCAGGGCTGTAGCTTCCTTGATTAAGTCTATTCATCTGGAATGTGGTCCTCCTCTTTTCCTACAGCCTTCTAACTTACCAAGTATTATTATTGTTTCTGATGAGCCATGCATGTCTTCTCATAATATGGTCAAAGTAATGGTGCTCCATGCAATCATGCAGGCCACATGACCTTGTAGGAGTCTACGGACGTACTGGACTCAACACTGACGCTTGATGCGCAGGTGTCGGTGGTGGCTGGGAGGGCCTTTGCACAATTTAAACTTGTGTGCCAGCTGCGACCATACCTCGTGAAGTCTGCCTTGACCATGGTGGTCCACGCCTTAGTTACCTCTACACTGGACTATTGCAATGCACTCTGCATGGGGCTTCCCTTGAAGACGACCCGGAAACTCCAATTGGTCCAACATTCGGCAGCCACATTACACATTACTAACATTACTAATTACAGGGAGCAATCAATCCCCCTGTTCAAGGAGCTCCATTGGCTGCTGTTCATCTTCCAGTCCCAATTCAAGGTGCAGGTCATAACCTATACAGCCCTGAATGGTTTGGTATCCACCTACCTTTGTGACCGCATCTCCTACCATAAACCTGCACGATCTCCTCGATCTTCTGGAAAGGCCCTTCTTTCATCCCTTCCTCTATCAGAGGCATGACTTGTGGGAACAAGGGATAGAGTCTTCTCTGCTGTGGCCCCCTGACTTTGGAACTCACCCCCACACTAGCAGCCTTTAAGCAAGATCTAAAAACTTGGCTCTTCCGATATGCCTTCAGAGAGTGATCATTCAACCCAATTTGTTTGTTTCCATCTACATTTGTCTTCATGATGCACTTTCCCGTGTCCTTAATGAAGGCCAAACCCCACTGCTTCTTGGGCTCCTTCCTCATAAATACACTTTTTCTATTCCTATCTCACCCAGGGTTTTAACGTTTTAGCATTTTATCTTGCACATTTGGCCCGCCCTTTGTGTTTGATTTTTTTATTATGTTATTTTGCACTGTTTTTTGTATTTTGTTACTTTATGTATTTTTTGTGATGCAATTTTTCTGTTATTTGTATCTAACTTTGCTGTATTATTTTGTGCATGGCCTCATGTCAGTCCCCTTTGGGGAGATGGTGACGGGGAATAAATATAGATTATTATTATTATTATTATTATTATTATTATTATTATTATTTGAAACACAACAAGATGAGTCCACAGCAGACACTCTGCTGGCTGTTGTATTGGATCACACGTCGGACACTTCCCAAGTGTCTAGGATTGTGTGATGTATTGGCGAATAATGTGTGCAGATCCCAGTAAGGTGGCCTTCTGCAGCTGGCAGATGGTAATTTTGTCAGTGCCAATTGTGTTTAAATGCAGGCCAAGGTCTTTAGGCACTGCACCCAGTATGCCGATCACCATCTTGACTGGTTTGCGCCAGAGTCTTTGCAGTTCGATCTTTAAATCCTCATATCGTGGCAGCTTTTCCAGTTGTTTCTCTTCAATCCTGCTGTCACCTGGGATTGCAACATCGACAATCCACACTTTGTTTTTAAACACGATCCTGAGGTCAGGAGTATTGTGCTACAAAACTCACTCTGTATGAATTCGAAAGTTCCAGAGTAGCTTGACATGTTCATTCTATGTAACTTTTTTCGGCTTGTGATCCCAACGGTTCTTTGTCACAGTCAGATGGTGTTTGTGGCACAGGTTCCAATGAATCATCTGAGCAATGGTGTTATGCCTCTGCTTGTAGTCTGTCTGGGTGATCTTCTTGCAGCAGCTGGGGATGTGATCTATTGTTTCATCTGCTTCCTTGCAGACTCTACACTTACAATAATAATAATAATAATAATAATAATAATAATAATAATAATAATAATATTTATCCTCTTTTCCTACAGCCTCTTAACTTACCATGTATTATTATTGTTTCTGGTGAGCCATGCATGTCTTCTCATAATATGGTCAAAGTAACAGTGTTCCATGCAGTCATGCAGGCCACATGACCTTGGAGGAGTCTACGGACAATGCCAGCTCTTCGGCTTAGAATTGGAAATGAGCACCAACCCGCAAAGTTGGATATGACTAGATTTCATGCCAAGGGAAACGTTTATCTTTACCTTTTCTATAGATGACAGTCTCCAAAAGAAATGGATATCCATTTGTGGTAATCAGAGTAAGAAAAATTAAAGGTGTTTTATTAATAAAATTGTAAGCACCTAAATGATGGCATGTTTACAGTTTGCCATACCCACCCCAACCTTCCCTAAATGACACACAAATCTAACTAGAAATATAGCCAGAGACATTGTTATGAAGGCATTTGGAATGGAGTTAGAAGAATGTCGTTGTTCCTGAATACATTCACAGTAGTGTGCTCAGAGAGAGAGAAGGAAACGAGAGACAGAGAGAAGGGAAAGTAACTTAGAAGCATTTGCGGTGAACGATGGACGGGCCAGCCTCATCATATTCCTGTTTGCTGATCCACATCTGCTGGAAGGTGGAGAGAGAGGCAAGGATGGATCCCCCGATCCAAACAGAATACTTGCGCTCAGGCGGAGCAATAATCTGCAGAAAATTGCGGGGGGAAATGAAAGCTCAGTTGAGAATACAACGAGGCAAGGATGCTAAAGAATTTTCATTTACTGGGATGTTGTGCACTATTCTTATGGCCAAAAAAGTAAACAAAGGATTTATATATGCTCCAAAGCTTGAAAAGTTACACAATTGGACTGCAACTCACAGAAAATATGTTGCTCAAAAGTCAATCAGATTAGTGAGCATGGGAGTTGTAGCCCGCTGCCAACTCTGATCTGCACATAAATAGATGAAACTGCTTCTGCAATCTCTGCGTGCGACTAACAGTGAACCCAGGCAATATCTACAGAATTTTTCTTATGTAACTGTTTGACGCAAAAGAAGTCAACACTTGCTTTCTTTAACCTGGAACAGTTCGGCATTCCTGACAAGGTATTCTTAATGGTCTGATTTACATTTTTGCCTTGCTTTTAAAGGCAGTCCAATTTATAAGCTTTTTCCAACAAGAGGGGAAACTCAGTAGGATATTCTAAATCATGCTAAGGTGAAGGAAAGGATTACTTTTTTTTTCAAACTGGCCCTACAACATGATAATGCCAATGTTTTGTAACTAAGCTTGTGAAATTTTGCCAAAAGGCATGCAATTTTGGGGTCCATTTTCGGCTAACCCCACATTCTCTTTACTAGGAAGTTACTCGAAACAGGAGAAGTGTTGCCGTTTTCATTCGGCAAAGATTTGGCCCATTGGCTACAATGAGAAACTGTAAAGGCTCAGTACTCAGTCATTTTAAGGCCTATCTGCATTATACCTACCTCAGTTTAAGACTCCATTTATAACTGCAGGCCTACCAAGTTTTAGAACAATTCACAATCTACTGATTTTTTTAGAATTACTTTAGCATAACATTTTTTAAAATAAGACAAACCATAAGAGAGGGTTCTGGGAATTGTAGTTGCCGGTTGTGTCCATTCTCAGTCAATCAGAGCATGGACACAACCAGGCCTTTTATTGGCTGAGAAACAGAGAGAGATAGGAACTTCAGCTCCCATCATGCTCTGAGAGGAACTCTGAGTTTTCAACCCCAACCTCATGCAAGTGCTGCTGGGAAAGCGAGTTCCTAGCAGGGCCCTCTCTGGAGGAGGAGCCTAAGGAACTTTTTTGCTGCAAGGGAGGGAGAAAAGACGCTGCAGGATCTTCTCCCGGAGCTCCACAGCAGACCCCTGCCTCAGGAATAATGCAGACTTAATGTCATGTATCATTTTCTGCAGTTGATGGTGGTTGGTGGTGGTAGGCCTAGCAGTTGGTGATGGAAGGGTTGATGTAAGTCTTAGTTCTAAAGGGTTGAGTAATCTGTAAGTAAGAGTTCATGGGTGAAAGCAATTAAGGGTGGAGGTATGCAAGAGATAGGTTGCAGCTGGGTGTTTCTGGATATAATGAGCTAGTCTAGGGACTGATCTTCAGGAAAAAAATATTTGCCATATTTTGGTGGTAGATGTTGCTGGTTTCCCCCCAGATCTCTCGATTTTTGGTATCCTGACCTGTCTCCTGAACTCTTAGAACCCTAGAACTTTGAATCTCTGGACTGGCTTTGGACTACGGTATAGACTCTTCAATCCTGGACTTTGCTCATTTAATTCTCAGCATTTTAACCACTGGACTGGACCCTTTGACTATGGTATACCTTTTTTTTTTGAGTTTTTGTTTATTCTGTGGCTGAGTGCTATCTTTATGTTTTATATTTTGGACGATTAAAACAGCCAGGAAGTAAGTGCTGTTTTAATTAAATTGTTTAGCACAAACTGGGTATTTGTTTGATTCACCTCTGCCTGAATAACAGCAGAGCCCTGGCATTGTGACACTTAACTCCATCCTTTCCGCTAGCTGATAAATCTGGCTCTCTTGATACATTTTGATTAGCTTTTTGGTTCCTTCCTTCCCATTCTGTTTTCAGGGATTACACAAAACGAACCACCGAATATTATAAATCACTTTCGGTCAGGCATGTAGCTGGGGGGGGGGGGGGGG